CTTTAACCATTTTACTGCTTTTTCCTATAATAATCCTGTACTTTCACATTGAAGGTAATAGTGTGTCCAATAATAAATCCATGTGTTACACTAAAATACAATAACGTCCAGTGGTGCTACCATAAAATCTCTGTATATTCCCATAGTGCCTGCAGTCATGAGTAATATATCAGTCACGGCTGAGGCTGCTCTCACTTGTACATTAGAGCACTGCTGACATCTTGTGGTTAGAAAGGCATCAGGGTTTTTTTGTTTGTTTGTTTGTTTGTTTCTGTCACAATAAAAAGCAATTTGTCACCACTGACGTTAACATCAAACTGCATCATTTTGTATACTTTTTTTTCCATTTCAAGTTAAATTTGAAGGCACAATACTCATCTGGAAGGAGAAAACATGGCTTACCTCCATGTTGTTAACTCATTTTCATTTTGCTGTTGAAACTGGGATTTGACTTTATCAAATATTTATGTTATTCCTTAATGTTTTTGAATATGTGCTGTAGGAATTTCCCACCTTTGGGACAAATAAAAGTTGCTATATTTTATCTACTGTCACAGTCAGACAAGAGAAGTAGAAAGTTATTTTAAAGACAGTGCAGCCTGAGGTATTTCTAGTATCCCAGCAAGCCAAATGTAATTATTTCATATTGGAATATAATTTTGCTTTTCAATTGCATTAAAATACGCATCTGTCTGGGTTTAATTTTAATTCCTTTAGTTAACGTGTCGTCTCCAATTATGTTGTGCATGTCACAGTTTAACAGTTTCTCAGTGCTGTATCTGCGTAAGGGTTTTGTCTTAAAGCAAACTAGTGTAGTCATGGAAAGACTACTAAAGGTCATTTTTTAAAGTGCCGTGCAGATGCTGGAGGATGCCGAATTGTAGCAATGGCTCCCATATTTATGTAATCCTTCCATTTAATACAAGGGAAGTGAAAAACACTGAATGACTTTCAGTACATAAAGTTTGTAAATGATATTTGCTACTATTGTTTCTGTAGAAGTTATAATGGAGCGCATTCGGGGCGTTTTGTCGTTCAGGTAAAACTTCCTTTAAGGTGTTTCCTCTTCTGTCCTGATGATCCAGCTGTTGCAGGACATTTAGCACAGATTCAGTAACGCCATGATCAGATCCTTCGACTGGCCAATAGGAAAACACAACAACCCTGCCGTGATGAGAAACTCGTCGCTCATTGGTGAATCTTCGTGTGACGTTTTGGGAAACTAGCTGTTAATTGGTCGTCTGCCCGACTTTAGTTGAGTGAGCCTCCCTCCGTCGTTGTTCCGGGATACCTGCAACCGAGAAAAGGTACAGTGCTATTTACATGGCTGTAACTTTATATTAATAGTGTGACACTCCAGGTTAGTTATATTTAAACCCGATTAAGCCTTTTTGAGTCTTTTAGTGAAGCAAAATTTTTTTTTTTTTTTTAAAAAGGGGTTTCTACGCATAACGAGTAGTTATTGTCATGTTTTTGCGTTCATGTATGTGCTTTGCAAAACTTTTCAGTGTACATACATCCAGCCTTCATTTTTCATGTTTCAAATACCCATTTTTAATTTTCTTAGAGGAAAGTGAGCGATGTGGAACTGTGATAATTAAATACTTTACGCGTTTCGGTTAAAACGGAAACGGTAATGTTAAATGCAATGCAAATGCTTATTCGGCCACCCGTGTTTTTTGTGATTTTTACAAACTCCGGGCTCTTTCACTTACCGTTATGTGTACGTGACAGTTAGGCTATGTTATCTGAACTAACCGGTTCAGGAAAAGTGATCAAACGACGACGGTGGCATTTACCACGTCTCGTCATTGTTGGTGGAATTCCAACTATGATGCAGATTTACACGCCTGATGGGCACCTGCCGTTAAGTCTATATGAGAAATGCAAACTGCAAAGAAGGTGGTAAAAGTACCACTTTCAGATGGGGGAAAAATTAAAGCCCTATTTATGAATTTAAGAGTTTAAACGTTTTTCAACAAATGTAACTTTATACATGCACTTTTTAAAAAAAAAAAATCCACTAAAATAAAGTTTAAGTTGGATAATGACTCAAAGGAAGTGCCAGGAGGCCTTCCAAGATGACTGCATCTTGGCTACATCTGTCTGATATTTATTGGAAAACTAGTTATGAAATTCCCGAGCTGCCAGACTAACTAGTGCTGTGGTTGCTCTAACATTTCCAAAAAAGCATGTAACCCAACTACGAGGAAGACAACAGTAACTCAGCAGTCTGTGACTTTAAGCCCATTTGCTTGCCTACATTGCCAGTTAAGACTGAATCTAGAGGAGTAGCAGGTTTGGTGTTAAATTTGAATATGTTCAGTTGGCAGCCAAGGGTGGCCTATCAGCATTAAGCAGGAGGTGTTGATGGAAAACCACCAACTCACTACCTGGCAGCAACAGCACGCCACTGTATGAATCACCATATGTTACTGAACCAGGAGTGGCATACAGTCTGTGACTTTTCCATCTCTGCATCACTCTAAGATGGCAACGGCTGTAAAATTTAGTAGCTATAAAAATGAGCAGTGGAGGTGGAGGTTTGGGCACTCGGCTAGGAACTTTCTGTGCACCCTCCATTGGATATTTTATGGGCAACTGGGAAGAAGGATTTGTGGAATGCCTCAGTTAGCATGCCCACTATGACCTGACACCAGATAAGCAAAAGATAATGGATGGAGAGAAAATTAAAGGTGAATAAGGGAGACTAAACCTCTCAACACTGACAAAAATCTATATTCAAATACTTAATTTTTTAATTTGATATAAAGACTGAAACCTTACAGGCCTTTGTACAATTAATTTAAAATCTGGTGTCAGAATGAAAACTGCAAATAAATCAAAATCAGCACTTTCAAATCAATCTGCAGTGTCAGCATTTTGACTCCTGTAAGAGATTAGAGGACCCAAATCTCCTCTCACTATGAAGAAGCAGTCCACCTACTGAACTGTCTGTTTAAAAACTACTAAAAGGAAATGCTCTGATATAAATATTGACTTTCTTTTGTTGTATTTTTACAGATTCAGCCATGGATCTTGTGCTGAATGTCGCTGACTACTACTTCCTAACGCCGTACGTGTACCCAGCGTCGTGGCCTGAAGACGGAGCCCTGCGGCAGATTATCAGCCTGCTGGTGGTGACGAACCTCGGAGCTGCAGTCCTGTACCTGGGCCTGGGAGCCATCAGCTACTACTTCATCTTCGACCACAATCTGATGAAACACCCACACTTCTTGGAGGTATAAAGCCCATATCTTGTTTTTATGACGGATGCAGTAATAAACTGAGTGTTGGCAGAGCTAAAGCCTGCAATCAATTGACCTTTGTATCAGCAAAAGGGTGTACAGATTTATAGGAACACTTGCAAATTACTGTCCTGTGCACACTATAGCTTCAAAACCAAGAATTAATAGTGTTTTTATTGTGAAACTAACTGTATTTTATAGTTGTTTATGTTACTGGTTTCACCTCCTGTAGTGTTGTTAATGCTTTTCCTGCCTAACGGACATGTAGTGCTTTAATTGGGCCATTTAACTGGGGTGAGGGTCTCTTCATGAAAGCCTTTGTTTGTCTTTTAAGGCTGGGTGAGATTAATTTTTGTTTTGTTTTTTTTAGCCCCCAAACTACTTTGTTTGAAATGCACTTAGATCATTTTGTCCATCAAAATTAATAACAGAAATTCGCCACATTGGTTTCATTTTTTTTTCTTCATTCTTATTTATTTTATTACATATTTGAAAAATGTTACTTATTGTTATTTGTAGAATCAGGTATGGCGAGAAATCAAATATGCGATGACCTCTCTGCCCGTGATCAGCATTCCCACTGTGGCTTTGTTTTTCACTGAAGTCAGAGGATACAGCAAACTCTACGATCATGTCGCCGATTCGCCCCTCGGTAAGCTGAAGAAGCAGCAGAAAATGTTTCAAATTTTCCAAAACGCACCAAGTTTTTGTCGGTGACATGACCTCTGTGCTTTCAGGTTGGCCCGGCCTTTTCCTGAGCATGATTTCATTCCTGTTCTTTACTGACATGTGCATCTACTGGATTCACCGCTTCTTACACCATAAGCTTATTTACAAGGTGAGGACACTTGTGTTTTTTCATACTTTCAATATACAATTGCTGAATAATGCAAATGTCTTTATCGTGCGTTAAACTTTATTGACCCACTGCTCTCTTGAACCTAACAGCTGTTTCACAAACCACACCACATCTGGAAGATCCCCACTCCCTTTGCCAGTCACGCTTTTCATCCAGTGGACGGCTTCATGCAAGGACTGCCCTACCACATCTACCCGTTCCTCTTCCCCCTCCACAAGGTGCTCTACTTGGCTCTTTACTTTTTAGTTAACATCTGGACCATCTCCATCCACGACGGCGACTATCGTGTACCCGGAGCTCTGACGAGCGTCATCAACGGCTCAGCTCACCACACTGACCACCACCTCTTCTTCGACTACAACTACGGTCAATATTTCACTCTGTGGGACCGCCTGGGAGGCTCCTACAGGCACCCGTCGGCTCTGATGGGGAAAGGTCCCCATGATCTGATCAGGAAACTTCAAGCAGAGGGAAAGTTGGGAAATGACGAAGCGAAGCCTAACGGGCAAGTGAATGGACGGGCTCAGAGGGGAGTTACCTGTAAGGAGGAGTAACAGTACACAGGTTATGAATAATTTCAGAAAGTGATCTCTATTTTTGTAAAGACAATTTGTTAAAGCCCTGCGTATTGGAGAGTAATTGGAGTTCATGTATGTGCCAAATAAGCCTCTGTAAGAATTGAGTTCTTGTGGAGCAATGAGTGAATGTGAAACGGCTGCCCCTGGTTGGACTGCACACACATACCAATCACAAACTATCGACTAACATCCAGAGATGGGGTGTTGTTTTGTAGTGTAACTGATTTTTGCAAACCGCTGAACCGCGCAGCAAAGACACTTGAGGATCATCAGAAAGCTGGAGCTACTGGAGCTGCTTCAGTCACAAACCAGACCTGAGGCTGGTTTCACAGGGCTCTACTATAGCCAGAGGTTTTTATTTGACATGTTATAAATCAGAGTAACCCAAAAGTTGAAACACTGGCTAATCAGCCATGCCTACTTTACACTTCCAGCTTTTTATTATTTTTTTTAAGAGTCATAAGAAACGTAACAGAAGAGCAGCAGAAGCCTCATTAACTTTAATTTTTCAGAAGTCGTGTCTTCTGTTGCAATTTAATTAAAATATTGAGAAGATAGCAATTATAACTAACAGTTAGAAATTACGTTGCCAACAGAAGTGTCAAAAAAATTCTGAAACATTTAAAAATCTTAGAAAATGTGTTTTATAGATATACTGGGCAGTTTCCTCTCAGTAGGGAATAAAGTTTGTGGGATAAATATTGGTGACACATGTGGTTAATTTATTCTTAAGCCCTCACATGGATCATACCTTAAACAACCTGCATTTATACATCCATCCCCCTCAAAGCACTGATGTGGTGTGATGCATACAACTCTATATTCTTGGTTCTTTCTTTTCGAGCTCTGCAGGATTTTTTTTCGTGTGCACTGATTCTAGTTATAAAGACAAGAGAATAGTTGAACGTGATCATTTAATACATGTTTTGCATTTTAATACTATAGTTGTAGTATGCAACATGTAACTGCAATAAATGTATGCACCGATTTTTTTTTTTTTTTTTTTTTTTTTAATATTAATACAATAATAAATGTAAAATATATTTTGGGCAAATATTTCTCAGTGTCTCTTTATTTTATTTTAAGAGCTTGTATTTTATGGAAGCTTGTTTCCACTTCCAAAAACAACTACTTCTTCTTTTGTGCTTGGGGTTAATATCTCAAAATTTCAACTAAACTCAACTGACTCATGGGTGTCAAATGTTTTCCTTATTGGTGGACTCCTCAAACTTCCATAGTTGTTGGACTTGCAGTTGTAGTTTAAACCCGTGGTTTCATCAAACACTTTGACCTGAAGGCAAGCTGACTGCGTAAGACGCAGTCTTCAGTACCCTTGAAGTTTGACCTGCTGAGCTTTTGGGTCATCCGTCCATCTTCAGGTAGTCGAGGCAGCGTTACTGACGAGAGCTATGAAAAATGTTAGTGGTTGTATAGCTAGGACTGTTGTGCAGTGAAAACAAAAGTGAATTTCAGTATATTATAATTTATTTTTTAACATATCTACTTGTTTTCTAGTGAGGTGCTAATATTTTAATATTTCTTACAAACTACACTTTGTCTAGAATTACACTGGTAAAATAACTTCCTGCTTTGCAAACATTCATAAGCGGTGATGTAAAACTCTACAACCTTGGTGCTGTTGCAGTTCATTTTACAATGTGTAGTGTTAAACCAAGAGTTTTGTGCATAAATCTAAACAAGTAATTTTTGGTGCTTAAACTTAACCAGCAAGTAAAAGCAAAACTTACAAAAGACAAGTGAGAACAAAGTGCACAAAGCTCCCAAAAACCACGTTCTCGTATGTACGCTTTAAAACCGTAATGTTTGTTCTTCTAATATTGTGGCAGCCAGTATTTTTAAAACACAGACGACACAGGGGAGCAGCATCTGACAGTGTTTTACACGTATAAGATGACAACGCAGGTTTTATATGCTCATAATAAAGAACAGAAGAACCACTGAAGCAGCTTTTTTATCAGAGCAAGTATGATGGGAAAGCCTGTTCTACACATGCTCGTTAGATGTCCAACTCCCTTGTCTCGGTGACAGGCAGGCTTTGCTCTCCTGTCAGTAATGTCAGTCATCTCAGCAAAAAAACAAGGGCATCCAAAGGAAGGATCGCATGGCTGCCCCGGCTGCCATTCCTGCTAACATTCCCAGTGCTAGATGCTCCACCACGCCATCAAACGGGTCCCTTTGAACAACAACCTGGTGGGTTCCTAAAATATAAACAGAAAGAAGACACTTATACCATTCGTGTTAACATGACAGTTGCTTTGAATGTCTAGAAAAATAAGGGCAGATCAGGATTGTAAAAAAGGGACAATGTCAGAACAGTCCACACCTTGAAGATCATTGTGGTGTGGTGGATTGTGCACCGATGATGAACTGAGCTCATTTATTGACAAAGGCCTTTTTCCTGATCCCGAATTTAAGTATCAGCTCGTGTCAAATCCGAGTTGTGCTTATTAAAATGAACTTAAACTAACTGGCATACAGCGTGCCGTTATTGCAGTATCGATGGGCTTCTGTGCAAAAACTAACCACAGTGCATGCGCGTATCTACCACTTCCACTGGAAATTTAAAGGCAAGATCGATGCATAAACAAAAAACATGAAGTCAAAACAGCATAAGCATCATTTCTGGATGAAAATACCTAAACATTCCCTGAGGTTATAAGAGAATGATCAGACTTCTGTTAGGAAGGCAACAGTAGCTCAAATATCCACTGATTACATTCCAAGTTTGCAGAAGAGCATCTTTGAGTGTAGATGGGCTGCAGCAGCAGAAGACCACACTGGCCCAGCTAGACCCAGGAAAATGACAAAAAATTCACACAGGCTCAACAAAACTCTACAAACATGGGATAACACGCCATGTCACAAACTGGTTTCTTAAACATGACCAACTTCATCGTGCTGAAATTGTCTCCACAGTCACCAGATCTCAATCCAGCAGATCAGCTTTAGGATGTGGCGGAGCAAGAGATTTTTACATCGTGAACGTGAAGCTGATGAATCTGAAGCATGTGATGCTATCTTGTCAATGTGGACCAAAATGTCTGAGGAATGTTTCTAGTACTTAGTTGAATCCATGCCTATGAAGAACTAAAGCATTGCCAAAGCCAAAAGGGCCTTTTAACCCAGTGCTAGCAAAGCGAACATAAGTGAAGTGAATGTATAAAACACATGGCATAATACTTTCAAAGTAAAATCCTATAGGCTTTTACTTTTAAAAGAAAATCATTAAAACCCAATTAAGTGAAGTATTTAAAGGACTCAGACCTACACAGCCCCACTAATCTGCCTCTCGGCTCATTTACAGAGCAGGTGTGTGGACTTGTGTCCAGCTAAATGTGGACACAAATATAAAACACTTACAACATCATAAAGAAAAATTGTTATTAGCATACCAATTACTGTTATTAGTCTAAGCACTGCTCATTGCCACGTTTAAAAAAAAGATTGCTTTGTTCTACTTAATTTATTGCTGATTCAAAGCACCGCCCAGCAGGAGCATCAAGTGCCCTAAATCTAGCTCCAGAATTCAATTAGCTCACAAACTGAGCAGATGTGTGGAGGCAAACAGTGCAGCAAGAAAGAGTACTCAGAGTAACACATGTCACATCTGGGAAACCATACAAAAAATATGCATTATCACACATGATGAGGTTATACAGAGGTAAGTGCAGTGAATGGTTCTGGGTTTTCTGACTGTTTCCTCACAGGCTACATACCAGCTACACCATACGTGCTCAGTTCTTGTGGTGTGCCATGTTTTATAAAACATACTGCAGCAACCAAAGCAGTTATGGATTATTTAGATTACTGTTGAATTGTCTGCTTCTTTGGAAGAAGAAGACAGCTGCCATATTTCAATTCCCTGTTGTTTACAGGATTCAGAAAAGAGCCAGAAATAAGCCAGCCTGTTTTTGCTTGATAGGATATGGTCTAGGATAATAAATGCAAATGAATGCTGTTGTTTTTGATCCAGTATATAGACCGCAGCATTAGATTTATTTAGTGTAGAGCTAAATGCTTCTTTAAAATGCTCCACTTGGCATACACCTGGTTAATTTAATTTATTTACTTAATTTTATTGTCCTAAAATTACAATATAAAAGGGAACTATTATAATTTCCCATACTTTAAAAAAAGTAAGGCTACATATTATAATATATGTACTATGTATTATATTAAGTCGATAATAAGTCTAGTTTTCTGTGTTAAACAATGATATCTTACCTGGTCCTGCTCCAGGTGTTATGTAGACAGTGTGGCGGCTATTGAGGGGGACAGCCTGGTAGGAGTCATCATATGGGTCATATGTGAACACCTACAGTGAAAAAAGCAAAGCACTACTTTTAGCTCTGTGGTGGAAACACTATCTGAGAGCTTGCTGATCGTGTTTAAGCTTTTTACAGAAAGCATGAAACACTCACCGGGTTTCTTCTGGTCTGCAGCAGAGTCAGTTTCCACGCTCTGAAAAATAAACAAGCAGGACTGAGAAACTGAGGGACGGTTGTGAAGTAAAAGAGAGAATAATGAGGCGAAGCGTGAGTACCTACATTGATTCGTCTTCACTGTTTGCGCACAGGTTGAGTGTTGAGCCGTCCATGAGGTGAACCACGATGAGATTCTCCCTGGGATTGCTCTCTGGTGGAGTCACACCTGGAGTAAAATTAAAGGAGTAAATTACCCATATTTGTTAAAGGTAAATCAAAGGTGAGAATGAATGAGCTAAAGCTTCTTTCCTATTTTATAATAAACTGCGAAGGCCTACTGTAAGAATACATGTTTTTGCCATGGACATGGTAATCTATTATCATGAGATAGTTTCTTCTAAACTTCTATACAGTCTGACCACTATGGTCTTTAAAATACTGCACATTTAAAGCACTTCTGTGTGTCAGCGTTCACACTTAAATAGTGATGGAACATGTTCGCTTCTGGGTATAATTGTATCACAGATCCGTGCTGTACCTCCACATTCCTGACCGGACTGCACATCTATGCACGCTAGTTTGAGACTGACGCGATGCTCCAGCTCTCGCCTGTTGTCTGACTTGTAAAAGCAAAGACTCCCATCGATCCAAAGGTCACACCAGTTGAGTTTCCAGCGTTTGAGGACAGAAGCTGGAGAGGAGACACATGCCACATTGTAAAATTAGTGCATGGAAAGGTGCTGGGATAACTTTAAACTTCAGTTTAACATCCTTCTGTTGCAGGCCTCACATCTCATGTGATTTAGTAGTTGCTTTTGAATATAGTCCCACCCCTCCCCCTCCCACCAAGGAGGTATATCTCCATTGAGTGTCCTTGATAAGCCACTTAAAGGCATGGCCAAGAACAAATAATGAGATTATAAGTTACAAAGGGTAGAGTTTCATAATGCGTAAAGTTTTCTAGAAAATCCTCAGTGTCGAGTTTGCAATCTGATCACTAACACAAATACACAACATACATGAAAAACAGCCCACATGTATTAGCTATGATTAGAATAAAGCTAATAAATCAGCTATGCTGATAAATGTGCAGATGTTAAATGATCCTAGTAGAATTTAAAGCTTTAAAACTCCGGGATGTTGCTATGAACCAATGCATTGGTCATCTGTAGACACAAAGCATCTAACCGAGCAGTTAGCAGTTTGAAGCAGGCAGCTGTATTTAGTGAGCTGCTTTAAAATTCAAAGGATAGCCTTCACAGAGATATCCGGCACAACACCTGTCCCACGACAAAATTGTAATCTGCAAAAATGCAAAAGGTTTCAAATACATTTCACTGTGCTAAGTGTGTTAAGTGTCATCACTTTATTCAACGCAGTTTAACATTTGCTCAAGGTGAGGTAAAATGTGCATGTAACATGCTAATTGTCACATGTCTAGTCTAGATGTTGATGCTCATACTTAGTCAAACTCCTTAAAAACAGAAAAGTGAAAAAAGTAAAAGAAAATGCAACGGCCCTTATCACTACACTTAACAAATACAGGTGAAATGGATGAATATTATTTTAATTATAAGACAAGTCTTGTCCTGTAGGTCTTGTCTCTTAAAGCACCCGAAAAATGAAGCCTACATGTTTTTATACATTAACTGAACCGAATAATTGAACCTTTAAGTTACTAGCACAAATTTTATTATAGATATTCCCTGAATTTGTGAAGAAAAAAAACTTACTCTGTCTCCACAACCAGCTTGATTTCAGGAGCGCCATAATCCTCGGATGTTGTTCTTGTTATTAATTCGCTTTGATAATAATCCAGGAGCAAAAGGCTTGCTTATGTCTAAGAGACTCTGCTGTTGGAGGCCTCTGTCCTGCGGATATTGAGGTATTGGTAGATTAATCTGGCTCTCACCAGGACTGACACTGATTCAGAGGATCATTCTGGATTAGGAGACCACGCCCTCTCTCAACCCTCCCATCACTCTTTCCGAACTGATTTCTCTATCAGACACTTGCACTGTGAGCCACACAATGTTTAAGTTGTTGACCACTCTTATTACATAAACTAAACTCCTGTAGGCCTCAATCCACAGATTCATCTGCACATGCATGACATGCTTTTACAATTTAATCCCTGTCCTAAAATAACATCCAGAGGATTAGCCTAATATTACCCAGGTCAGTTCTGTGAGTCTTCTCAGAATGTCTGCAGGTGATGCATGATGACATCATTTCCTTTTATAGCCTACAGAAAGTTCTGGTCTTGTTTACATCAGCTCAGTCTCCTGATGGTGTGTTTACACCAGTTCCTAAATTCAGAACTAGTTTTTGTTTGTTTGTTTGTTTGTTTGTTTTAACTGTGTGTCAATATGTTATGTTGTCACACCCCATACAAGCTCTGAAATGGCAGCTTTCCTCCCATTGTTACAGTTTTTCCATGAACCACTTGGTGATTATTGTTGATGAACAGTTTTGAAACACGGCATGAACTAAATATTAATATATACGATTTTATTAATAATAATAATGATGACACACTGAGTGTTAATGGTTTACTGGAGCATGCCTCTCTGTTTTTAAGGGACACAAAAGGACGTACCCACAGGTAAAATAGTAGAGAAGTTGCAGAAGTGGTTCTGTTTCTTTAGGAGTTGCTATTTGACATCCAGGGCATGACTTGTCTTGTAAACATTTCAATCACAGTGGGGATCGTGGAGAATCTTGACTGCCGCCTCTCATAATTCCCAGCAGGCGTCTTTATTTGAAAGCTCGGCTCACTGCAGTCAGAAGACGTATATGTGCTGCTGTTGTGTTTGATGAACGGAATCCGCTCTCTGATTGTCAAATTTTTCATTTTAATATATTTCTTCTTATCTAAAGCTTTTATCCCCTCTAAGTGATGTTTCTCTCAGCCCCTTCATATAACTCCTGCTGTTTTATTTAAGAGTTGAACCCCTGAAATCAGTTATAATCTGACATTTTTCAGTAGCCAGCTTCCATCATGCTTGCCGTAGAAATATTTTAATGCATACCCAAAATGTCGGCATTTAATACTCAGTCTAAAACATATACAGTAACTCAGTCAGACATCTTTCTTTGCCCAGTTTACCCACTATTACTCTTCTCCACATCTTCAGTTCATCTGAAGCTTCCCTAATGGTCGCTACCAGTGAAAACCATTACATCTTCAGCTCTGCCACCTTTTTGTCAGTGCCACAGTCTCCAAACTATACATCAGAGCAGGTCTCACTTCCATCTTGTAAACATTCCCTTCCTGCTGTTCTTCTGTCACACCAGCAAGAGTGAGAGGTGAGTAAATATTGGCGAATGAACCACAAAAAATACTGACGTCAACTCGTGAATGAATGAAAAAGTACTGAAACCACTATGTAATGGAGAGAAGCCAGTTTGACATCACTGACAGGAATAAATGGCTTTTGGTGTGCACATTCAAAAATAATTTTACAAAGCAATAAAGACTAAAGTAAGAAAATAAATGTGAAAAATGCTAATTTACAAATTTTATGTTGATTTTTGTATTTAATGGTAAAGTTTATGACATTTCACAGTGGTTAAAAAAAAGAGTTCCTTTTTTTTGGAGTTCCTCCAAATGAGGAATTAAATTTTCTTTGATCCAGAAATCTCCACTTCATGAGCACTTGCATGCACCAAGAGTTTAGAGCCTGATAAATGTGAACATTTATTGATGAAAACATGGCAAAATGGCCTTTTCTGCTATATTTTTGATCCCGTGTGCATGAGAGAAAAGCCAAAATAAATTCAAACTCTTGAACCCAGTTCTTTTTTTTAAAAGTCATTAAAGATGTATACCCAGAGAAATCCTTAAAAGCCCCAAACTACCATGACATCCGTGCCCATGATGAGAGCAAACTTCTGATGATTTCTCTGAGGAAATGTGCTGCGTCTAACTGTTTGTCTTCATGTTCCTCCTCTGCAAAGCTATAAAACACGAAAGCTATTTAAAAGTAAATCATGACATATAGATCAGTAAAGTAACAATAAACACATCAAACTACATATTGCTCCTCCAGGATCACTGAATAAAGAGTGCAACAGTGTGACTTACTCACAAATTGGTCCAAATCACAGTTTGTTTCTCCCCCAAAAATCTCCTGACTGTTCCACAGTGTTTGTGGTTAGGTTGATGGAGCTGCAGATGCTTGTGCAGAGCCGAATTATAATCATGGCTGTATGAAATATTTACTGTTGGGAGATATGATGTAAACCCCAGGGTTATGATCTGAATGTAGCACAAATGTGGCAAACTAAAGAGAGACGGAGAGAAAGGGACGCTATGTTTGTTGGCTGCTTTTTGTCTGCTGTTGTGCAACTCCCACAGCTGCTCTCGGTAGACAGACGGCTCGCTCACTACTCTGTGGGTCAACAAAACTTTTGGATATCTCTGTAACTCATTGGCGGTGTGGCACAGTCGCATTATTTGAGCCATGGGTGGACTTTGGACAGATTCGTGCACAACAGCTCCTGGCAGAAAGAGATAACACCACAGATTTTTTTTTATCCATTTAGAAGCACGGTGGTCTCGGAAGTAATCTAAAGGTGAAGGGGCTATGTTAGCAGGTGTTTGATTTTATAGTTAAAGTTATTACAATTATATGGAAAAAGGCAGAAGACTGACAGTGAGAGAACATTTATAGAGTTGGAAAAGTCAACATCCT